CACAAGTGAACACACACACAGTAGTGAACACACACACACAGTAGTGAACACACACACACAGTAGTGAACACACACAGTAGTGAACACACACACACACACACTAGGCCTAGCCGATAAAAAGGTATCGATATTTATCGACGGTACACCTTCTTCGATATCGATAGAAAATTTTTTCGATATAGCGCACGATATAGGCAGGTGCTCTGAGTGACACAGACAGCACACACAAACATGAACACATGCTGAAATGAGTGCTGTGCCTGCCTGTGATGAGGAGATTGTGAATAAAAAAAAATGATTATTAGTCGAGTTTAAAATAAACATTTGCATTTGAATGCAAAAATAGTGCAATCAAATGTTAGGTGTGCATCTGGGAGCGTCATTAGTGGAGCGCGAGATGCGGTGATGATGATGTAAGTAGTCGACCGATATGGGTTTTTTGACAGCCGATGCCGATATCTTGGAAAGCAGGGTGGCCGATGGCCGATATAAAGCTGATATAATTTTATTTATTTTAATTAGTATTTAAGAAATTTGAAATCATTTGAAAATTGATTAAAAAAATAAATGTGTTAAATAAACATACTTATACTTTAGATGACAAAGTATTTTTCACAAATAAATAAATATGGCCATGGCGATATATCGGTCGACCACTAGATGTAAGTGACGTTGTTGCATTTTAATGTTATATAAGTCTAGCCCACAAGACGCACATTTGCTGCGTTATTCATTCAAAATATTAGAGAAATATAGAAGCTCAATGCGTAGAAGATCTTGATTAGGTCAAGAAACCAAGCCATTCACACAGAACACATATTCAGCACATTTTTAGACGGACAAATTATGACTGCTGCACTCGCGTCTCACACAAGAGATTTATAGAAAGCCATGCAAAGTTAAAACAGTTTAAACTTTTAGAAAACACGTCACGAATTTGTGGTTTATTTATTTTCACTGCGTCTTATATTTTTAAAAGCAATCTGCGTGATGGGCGATTCGGCTCTTTGT